GCAACTGAAAATCGTGTATGTATAAACATTCTTAATTTAAGATGACAGGGGTAACAGCATACGTGAGAGTCAAACAGAGAAACTGTAAACAAAACGACCATCGGTTTTATTGCTTCGACTTCCGCTTATTATATAAAACATTGGGTTTTATTTTAATTCTTGACGGTGAAATTCACAATTGGTTGGTTATAAACATGTCTATTTCACATTCGCGGAACCAAGTGAACGCATAAAACAAATGCAGGTCTGTAATGTTAAAGTCGATGTAAATAAGCGTGCTACCCTTATGTTTCAACCGAGTTTTTCCTTTAACAAATTTTGTGTCTACCAAATTGGGTTGGTTGGGGTGTAATACTAATAATAAGTGTTGCCTTTAATTTAATCAATAAAATAAACTGACTTCATTAATTTTTTTGAACCACCTCTTAAGAAAATCTAAAAAATATGAATGGAATGATAAATCACAAGTACAAACTCATCATATTTTTTGCATTTTAGATAGGATTTATTCAGCAAAATTTAAGGGTGACGTCATCAATTTTTTTAGGAGGGATGAACAAACACATTTTGAACAAAAGTTTACCATGCTTATAATAACTTTAAACTATTCCCAAGATTTCAAAGCATTCGGTTTTGTAATTCCTGATTAAATCGATAAAATAAATTCACGCCTTCATTAATTTTTTTGAGTCACCCTGCATATTCAAATCCGAAAATATGAATGGAATGATAAATCACAAGTACAGACTCATCATATTTTGTACATTTTAGATACGATTTATTCGGCAAACTTTTGAGCTGACGTCATCAGTTTTTTGTAGAAGATAACCAAATATATTTTGACTAAAAATTTATTATGCTCTTTATAACCTTAAAACATCTGCAAGATTTCAAAGCATTCGGTTTTGTAGTTCCTGATTAAATCAATAAAATAAATTTACGCATTCATTAATTTTTTTGAGTCACCCTGTATATGCAAATCGAAAAAATTCGAATGGAATGATAAACCACAAGAAGAGACTCACCATATTTTGTACATTTTAGATAGGATTTATTCAGCAAAATTTTGTGGTGACGTCATAAATTTTTTAGGGGGGACGACCAAATACGTTTTGATCAAAAATTGACCATGCTTATGATAATTTTAAAATATCTTCAAGATTTCGAAGCATTCGGTTTTGTAGTTCCTGGGTAAATCAGTAAAATAAATGTACGCTTTCATTTATTTTCTTGAATCACCCTGTATATGCAAATCCAAAAAATATGAATGGAGTGATAGATCACAAGTACAGACTGATCATATTTTGTACATTTTAGATATGATTTATTCGGCAAATTTTCGAGCTGACGTCATCAAGTTTTTGGAGGGGAGAAGCAAATATATTTTGACTAAACAGTTATTATGTATTATGCTCTTTATAACCTTAAAACATCTGCAAGATGTCAGAGCATTCCGTTTTGTAGTTCCTGATTAAATCAATAAAATATATTTACGCATTCATTAATTTTTTTGAGTCACTCTGTATATGCAAATCCAAAAAATATGAATGGAGTGATAAATGACAAGCACAGGCTCATCATATTTTGTACATTTTAGATATGATTTATTCGGAAAACTTTCGAGCTGACGTCATCAAGTTTTTGGAGGGGATAAGCAAATATATTTTGACTAAACATTTATTATGCTCTTTATGACCTTAAAACATCTGCAAGATTTCAGATCATTCGGTTTTGTAGTTCCTGATTAAATCAATAAAATATATTTACGCATTCATTAATTTTTTTGAGTCACCCTGTATATGCAAATCCAAAAAATATGAATGGAGTGATAGATCACAAGTACAGACTCATCATATTTTGTACATTTTAGATATGATTTATTCCACAAACTTTTGAGCTGACGTCATCAAGTTTTTGGAGGGGACAAGCAAATATTTTTTGACTAAAGCTTTATGATGCTCTTTATAGTCTTAAAACATCTGAAACATTTCAAAGCATTCTGGTTAGCAGATTAAAAATTAAATTTCAAAATGTTGTTTTATAATTTTTTTTTTCCAAAAATCTGGACGTTTCGGGTGAAAAGTCGATTCAGAGTTGTAAACTACATGTGTAGGACTATGTTATTTTATACAATTGAAAACCCATTTACTATGTACAATTTTGAAGTGACGTCATCGCATTGGTGGTGGGGATGATTAGACAAATTTTGGTTAGCGTTTTACCATCTACATGATATTCTTAATATAAATACAAAATTTCACAACAATCGGTCGAGTACTTTCGGAGATTATCTGTCTAATAAAAATCCGGGACGGCAGACGGACAGACGGACGGACAGACGGACGGACAGACGGACGGACAGACGGACAGACGGACAGTCGGACAGACGGACAGACGGACAGACAGACGGAAATGGGAGACCTATTTCTTCGTCTTCTAGGGGTCATGAAAGATCGAGAAAACGTAAAAGTAGAGAGTCGGCCGACGGACTCGATTACAATACTTCCTTTGCTTACGCTCGGGAAGTAAAAACAGTTAGGTTTCACTTTCTTTAAAAAAACACAGTTGGTGCCCCCCGACACGGTTTCATCAAAAAAAGGTAACTGGGACCCCCGAAAAAGTTTCACCTTCTTAAAAAAAAAACAGTTGGAGCATTCGAGAACGTTTCATATTCTTACAAAGAAACAAGGCAGGTTTCACATTCTTTAGAAAAAAGACAGTTGGAATCCCTGACAATATTTCATATTCTTAAAGAAAAGACAATTGGGCTCCCGAAAAGGTTTCACATCCTAAAATTAAAAAAAAAATCGAAAATGATTTCGACAAAATCCGATTTATTTAAAATTCTATAAAATGTGACTTTGCAATTTTCTTTTTGTGGTAACTAAAAGTAAAAATCTAGTGGTGTAATATCACCCCGCGGTCCACACAAGTGTGGACAATATGAAATATGCAGTCGTGACCAGGAAATCTTGGACATCAATGTCATTCCATTGTAACAAAGTGTGAGACACTTTTACGTTTTGTAACCTTATTTTTAAATTTAGTCATTTTTGACACTACAAGCACTTTTTTTGACACTGCATGTGACGTAACAAATATTTTAAACTTCAAGCGTCAAAGTGACAATAAATAATAAACTACATCAAAATTTTCAAAATGACAGAAAAATGACGTCGAAGATTTTCTGGCCCTGACTGTATTTAAAACCACCGGGAAACATGTAGATAGTCTCAATTTACAGTACATGATTAACTTCAAGTGTTTATGTTTATACTGCAAAAAAATCGAATTATCACGTTCAGATTACAAGTGTCGGCGGTTAAAAGAAAATGAAGACAGGACTGATAAATTACTTAAACACACTCATAAATTTGAAGAACATTTGTTCGGTAAAATTGTAAAATGACGGAAAAATGTTCATTAACAATTTACTATGCTTCCAATAAGCTTTTTCACAACATTCGGTTTTTGCAATTTCAAAGTTAAATTGTAAAATACTGTTATAAAATTTCGACTTTTGTACCCAAAAATTTGGATGCCAAGATTAAAAACTCAACTCGGATTCATAAATCACACATGCAGGAATATGTAATTCTGTATAATTTAAAAAACATTTATTCGCAAAATTGTAAAATCACGTCATTACTTTTTTCGGACGCATAAGAAAAAAAAATGAGTAACTGTTTACTATGGCTACGATAACCTTAAAACGTTTTCAGGATTTCAGAGCATTCGGTTTTGCAGTTTCAAAGTTAAATAGCAAAATGTTGTTATATAATTTTAATTTTTTTTCCATAAATTAGGACTATCCAAATTTTGGTTAATACACATATAAAATTTGACAACAATCGGTCGAGTAGTTTCGGAAATTATCTGTCTAATATACGGGAGACCTATTTTTTCGTGTTCTATTAGCTTACGCTCGGGAAATAAAAATACTACAACCATAAAAATTATTAATGTTGTGAACGCGGAAAATGAGGTTCGAAAAATATTAAGAACGTCATTATTCTGTGAAATGCGATTTTATTGAATTTTATTATCCTTAAAAGAGAGACTCCAGAATCAATAACTGCGTTAATGATATTTTCAGAGATTAAAGGTTTACAATTTCTAATTTAAAAGTTTAACGAAGTAATAAACGAGAAGACAGGAAGCGAGACTTTTGAAGTCTAAATAAAACGAGTATTTGTTTTTCTGTTCCGTTGCAAAATAATATCGATGTTCTGATACTCATCTCGATTTCAATTTGGTGTTCATTTTGTAACTGCCTCCAGAAAATGAAACCATTTTGATCTTCGAGATGATTTCCACAGCACTTATTTTAAAACTGTTAGATATCAGTTTTATTAATTAATTATGACGATGTTAATTCAGTGAAGTACATATTTAGGTACATTTTTAAAAATAGAGTCTGTCAAGAACCATTTTCGTACTGCAGACAGTCTGCAGAAATAAAAACCTTTGTTTTCGCCAGGACACAAAGAGCACTCGTCCTTCGCCAACCTTCAAGAATGAATTAAGAATCGTCTGCTGGATTCATCTAAATGAGAACGATAAATCTAGGGAAATAAATTGCCTTTTTAATTGTTTACTGTGCGAATTCTGGAATGCCGGTGATAAAAGTGTAATTAATGCTGCTGAGGATTTTTCATTATTGTTGTAATAGTTTTCCCGACTTCAGCCACATATTAAATTAAACCCACGTCAAACAAGCAGAAAACGCTAATATTACGCTATGTCGAAGCGATTAAAATTTTACATTATTGTGGTAATTCAACTACAGCGTAATTTTATTAGTGGTAGAAATATTGCTACGTCGAATTAATTTATAATTTATTACTGAGTATAATCAAATCAATCGATAAACTCGCACAAATGCTTTTAATTGCTTTTTCATTTTCGCGCAAGCCACAGTATGTGATTTATCGGTTCGATATAAATTACGTTTGCGAAATTTAATAAATCTGAATTTTGAGAGAAGTTTTTTGTTGCAGATACACCTGGTCCGGAGAAAGATAGGGCAGAGTAAGTACTAGGAATCCTACTTACTAGACCAACGAGTTGGGGAAAACATAACGATTCTGGAAAATTTTTGTGCTATAAATTTAGGAATTATGAACATCACGTTCTACACATGTTACAACAGTAATGATAAAAACAAACAAAATTAATTAATTAATTTAGTACAGAAAATTGTCAAATAATTTCCCTATGTGGATGGAAATCCGGCTTGTGTGGTTTGCTGAACGCAACCTCAACTCGAATTTAGTTGCTCCGTTTGAAACTTATGGAAAACAGTATCAATTATGCATCGATGAATATGTATGTACGAGAGTTGTTTACTAAATTATAAGAATTTGTTTCTTCATCTTTTATGTATTCACTTTATTAAGATGTATTTTTGCCTTTTCAAGAACTTTTAACCTGCTATTAAATATTTATACTTTTTTGTGATGCAAATTTTTGTTCACTGTTCTGTTGTCGTCAGCTAAACGGAGGACAAAAAAAAAATTACAAAATTATGTTTATTGAGGTATCTAAAAGCTTTTGAAAGCCTTCCTGAAAAAACGCTTCCTTGTGCGGCTACTGAAAGATAAAATCAATTCAAAACAATAAAAAATTACTAACAGTTTTTAATTTTGCGACAAGTTAAATTGAAGCTGTTGAAACGTCACCTCTATTTAATCTTATAGTTGAATTATAAAGCTAACTGCACGTTAAAAGCTAATAAATGTCTGAAATTTAAAACAAACTGGACTTTTAGAATATTTCCACTAATCTGAAAAATTAAACCAAAATTTTATGTTATGGATATTATTTTATGTTATGGATATTATCGGTGTCGAGAAGTGTCGATATTATTTCTAATTTAAATTATTATTAATTTTAACTGTAATTTCGTAATTGTCACAACACCTTTAGCAAAATTTATATTGCATTAAAATTTTCAAATATAAAAATTGGATTATTTTAATTAGAGTTATAATTCATGCCCTTCAAGCTAAAAACCGCCGTTTATTTTTGTAATTATTTAGGATAAGACGTTGCCACGTTATTCCAATATTCTTGGACTTGTTAACAAAAAAAATTATATTATGTTATTTATGAGATCTGTATTGCAATATTTTATGGAGAGATTAACAAAGGTACGCGCTTTTTGTGGTATTAATTAAAGCAGTAAATCAATTTTAAGTTTATAAAAAATTCTAAAGTTGCAAGTTTCAAATTTTGATATTTCAGTTTTTTCAAATACATTTTTCATTTCTGGTTCTCCTTTTTTCAATATGCCAGTGTGCAATCACTGTCAACTTTAAATATAGAAAATACTTAACGTAAAGAGAGAGAACAGACGATGGAAAAACATGCACTATAACAAAATACAAGGTGTTCTTTTAGCAAAAATAAAAATATCGACATTTAAAAATTTTAGTTTTTTTATTAACACTGTGTATGTTAGGACTCAATTTTCTTTAAACCGCAAGAAAGTATGTATCTCTATGTCTTCCAAAAATACTGTAATAATTTTAAAAATAACCCTATTGCGGATTCTTTATGAATCTTTCCATTGTCAAAAAATTAAAAAAAAAAATGAAATAATGTGGCAACGTTGCATCGGAATTTAAAAAATTAACCGTGGTTTTAAAGCCTTAGAAGTGGTCAAACAAAATAAAAGGCTATTTCAGTTTTAAATGTTTCATTTTTTAGATTTTCCAACTTTTAGGTGGTTCAGTTCTTAAATTTTTCAATTGTTGGATTTGCAATTTCACAAGTTTTCAATTTTAAAAATTTTTCGATTTTTCAATGTTCTGATTTTGTCATGTCTCTTTTTTCAATGTGAAAATTTTCAGTTTTTCCATTTGCAATTTTTCTAGCTTTCATTTTAAATATGTCATAATTAGAGAGCGGATTTTATGAAATTTGCATATCTGTTATTTTTTGCATATAAGTCTTGATATTTAATATGTCAACGAATCATGCTAATTAAAAATGAATACAGCTATAAAAAAATTGCATATTTGCATATATTTGCCTTCTGCTGCATATTTCACCAAACGGGTGCATATTTTGCATTTTTATCAATTTTTGTACTAATTTGAAAAAAAAATTATCGTCATTCTATCGGAATTTATCTAGAAAGACGAAATTTTATGAATCATATTGCAGATATTGTCCTGAGTTTAAAATAACTAGGAAAGGTTTGGGTTTTATGGTAGTTTGGAAACACCACTGGGTATTAAGCCATCCTTCCAGGTAAATTCGCGCCCTAATTACTTTTGGAAATACCGTTCATTCTCAAAATTTTTGTTCGTTGGTTAAGTGGTGGTCTAAGGGACGTTATACTATTATTTTTCATCGTGAGTTTGTATTGAAAGCAATTAAAGGGATACAGGTGAATCAATATGTCGAAGAGAACTCAAATTAATGTATGAATTAAACCTTTTCCTGAACTTATTCTTCAAGAACGAACTGTGTTTTGTCGCGCCTGCCCTAAACCGGTAAGTATTTTTACATCTGCGGACGTAGTACGCAGTTTTTCTATTTGCAAATACTTATACTTATTTTAGAATCACCGGAAAAACTTTTTGTTAGAATATTTCGAAAAAAATCTAAAAATAAATTGTTACCAAAATAGTAATTAAATAGTGGATTACTACTATTTTTTAATTTGTCCTATTTATAAATATTTATTTTTTAGTATAAGAATAATATCTTTAAAAACGTGATTTATGTGTTAGTGAGATGTAATTAAACACTTTGCAATGTGATTTCTGTATTTTTTGTAATAAAACGTAAGCTCGGGAACCCTGTTTTTGTATTTTATAAATAAATTTAGTTCGCTTTTTTTTTAATTTTTGGAGCATATGCATCTGCATATCTCTGCATATATTAAGAAAGTTACTGCATATTTGCATAAATTTGGTGCATATCATATGATCATATTTCTCAAAATTTTGGTGCATATTTTCCGCTCTCTAGTCATAATAATTATAATTTTTAAAAATTTTCACTTTTTCAATCTTACGTTTTTAAAATTTTTCCATTTTCCAATTACTGGATTTTAAAATTTTTCAGTTATTCGATTTTAAATTTTTTATTAGTAATTTTTTTATTTCTCGATATCTAATTTTTCAAATTTTCGATCTTTCAGTGTAACAGTTTTTCGACTTTACAATTTTGACGATTCTCTAATTTGTCAATAAAATTCAAAAATTGAGAAACTGAAAAAACGAAAAATTGCAAACTTGAAAAACTGCAAACCGAAAAATTGAAGAAAGGAAAAATTGGAAAATCGAAAGAATGAAATTTGGGAAAAATGGAAAAAAATCAAAATCGGCAAAACGCAATAGTGTAAAATCGAAATATTAAAAATCGGATCATTGAGAAATCCAAAAATTGCAAAATTGAAAAAGTCAAAAGTTGAAAATTGAGTAAATAAAGAATTATAAAATCGAAAGAAATATTGAAACAATAAATGAAATAAAAAATCGAAAATTTGCTCAGATGTAAAACCGACACAAAGAAAATTAGAACGTCAGGAAAATGAAAAATAAAGAACTTGAGAAATTGAGAAAAAAAATTTGAAAAATTTTGCAACAAATATTTAAAAAAATAACCCTATTGCCGATTTTTTATGAATCTTTCCGTTACCAAACAATTTCAAAAAAATTGAAATGGTGTGGCAACGTCGTATTGGAATTTAAAAAATTAACCGTGGTGGGAATATACACTACACAGGCTATTTGATTTTTAACTTTTTGAGTGTTCCGTCTTTTGGGTGGTTCAATTTTTGAAATTTTGCAATTTTTCGATTTGCAATCTCACAAGTTTCCAACTTTTAATTTATCGATTTATCAATTTTTTATTTCTACAATTTTTCGTGTCGGTTTTTTATTTTCTTTTTTTTCAATTTTTCCGTTTTTAAATGTTCTGATTTTATCATTTTTCTTTTTTGAATGTAAAATTTTTAAATTTTTCGATTTACAGTAATTCTAGCTCTTATTTTAAATGTCTAAGTATCATAATTTTTAATTTCAATTTTTTTTTTGTTATTTTTCTATTTTTCATTTTTCAATATCTGGAAATTTTATTTTTTAGTTTTTAGATTATTCAGTGTTAGAGTTTATCGACTTTATAACTTTGACGATTCACTAATTTTCCAATAAAAATGAAAAATTGAGAAACTGAAAAATCGAAAAATGAAAAATTGTAATATCGAAAAATTGCAAACTTGAAAATTTGCAAACCGAAAAATTGAAAAAACAAAAAATTGTAAAATCGAAAGATTAAAAATTGGGAAAATTAAAAATAGGAAAAATGAAAAATCGGAAAATGAATTATTGTAAAATCGAGATATTTATTAAAATTTAAAGAAATCTAAAAATCGCATCATTGAGAAATCCAAAAACTGTAAATTTGAAAAAGTTAAAAGTTGAAAATTGAGTAAATAAAAAAATTATAAAATCGAAAGAAACATTGAAACGATAAATGAAACGAAACATTGCTAAGATATAAAATCGATAAAAAGAAAAAAAAGGTCAGGAAAATGAAAAATAAAAATAAAGAACTTGAGAAGTTGAGGAAAGAAAAATTAAAAATTTTGATTTTAAAAATACCCCAATTGCCGATTTTTTATGATTATAAATCTTTCCATTTCCAAAATATTTCAAAAAAATTGAAACAATGTGGCAACTTCGCATCGAAATGTTGCAATTTTTTTAGCTTTTATTTTAAATATGTCATAATAATTATAATTTTAAAAATTTTTCACGTTTTCGATTTCACGATTTTAGAATTTTTCCATTCATTATTCAATTACTGGATTTGAAAACTTTTTCAGTTATTCGATTTTTAATTTTTCAATTTGTGGATATTCAATTTTTCGATGTTTCGATGATTCAATGTTACAGTTTCCCGACTCTATAACTTTGACGATTCTCTAGTTTTTCAATAAAAAGTGAAAATTGAGAAACTGAAAATTCGAAAAATGAAAAATTGTAATATCGAAATATTGTAAACTTGATACA